TGGAGGCGGTGGCGCACGGCGACTCGAGGGAGGCGGGCGAGCTGCTCGCGTCCGGGCGCGCGGACGTGAACTACGCCGGGATGGTGTGGCGCGAGGGCGCCGCCGCCGAGCTGCGCGCGTCGCGCGAGGAGATCCGCGCTGACGTCTCGATGCTCTTCCTCACCACTGGCAACGGGGACGCCGCGCTCGTCCGTGCGCTGCTCTCGTGAGTGCTTTCCTCCTTCCTCCTCTGCCCGGCGCGGCGACGAGATGCCACGGCGACCGCGCGGGTGCACCGGCAAGGAGAGAGCGCGAGCTCGCGGGCAGGCGAGGTGGAGGCGTGGGCGCGTGATCGAGGCGGACCGTTTGGGGTCGGTCGGCGCGCTGGGCGCCTTCACCTACACCCGGACATGGATGTCCGTTTTGGCACCCATTGCTTTCCCAAACGGACAAAATCCGGACGAAACAGACGTCCATTTGGGGTCGCCCGGTGGAGTTGGCCTAAGGTGTGGCTAGGTCTCAGTCGACTGAGACTTAACCAAGTCTAAGTCAACTGATATAGTATGTAAGAAGAAAAAAGAAAAACTAAAAATAATTTTTTGCACGCATCTCCATGCAAAATCATAGAAAGATACTATTGAATTAGACATAACGAAGTATAAGTCGACCGAGACTTAGCAAAACTGATATTTATTATTGGGTCTGTCTAGGACACATCTAGATGTGACATAGTTATGTCACATCTAAACTGATGTCCAATCTGTTTGTGGTCTAATTTTTTATCCTATTTTTTTAATTTCTTGTTGATGAATTATATATTTATCAGAATTTAGATGTGACATTCTTAAAAGACATCTAGATGTGAATTAGACAAACTCTTTATTATTACTGTCTGCAGGTCCTCATCAGCAATTATACGTTGATACTAAACCCTAAAAAAAATCTACTGATCCCACACAGCAGAGTATCTTCGAAACCGTGGCGCATTTTCCTCTTTACAGTAGTACGACCGCTACTACGCTAGGTATGTGTATGTAACTGTACGGGTTTGACCGAGTACCTTCTGAATCTGGTGGTCTTTTTGTACTGCCTCTAGGCTGTATCTCCAATGCACAGTAGCCTTAATAAGTTACCATTCTGGTAGTATAGGGCACAAATGGTGTACATAGTACACTGCAGTAGTATCTATCACTAACCGTATATCGACGCCATTTCTTCTATAACTAGCGCCAGTACGTTACTGAATGCCAACAGTGCTTGCGGCATCGCCCGCAACCACTGTCGTGTGGCCAACAGCCGCTGAGGCGCTCCTGTACGTGGTCATATGCACGGTCGGCCTTGCATGCCAGTGCCAAGCTAGCTAGCACGGCCTACCCAAGCAGGCAGAGGCAGGGCACGTAAATGCACGCATTAAATCGCGAGTGTTTGCTTTGCTTCACCCGTCTCACGCATCCCGAGAACTTTTTTCATGTCCCTACACGCACCTGCAGCAGATCTCCCCTTGTTTCCCGGCATCAAACCACTCTACTCTCTCTTATCCCCTGCCGGTTTTGCTTAGACTGCTGCCAGTACATGGGTGCTTAGATGAGGTGCTAAGCGCATTAAATAGCTTAGCAACTATACTTCTCAATGCATAGATGCTTAGCTTATGGTTGCTAAGCTTGCTTCATTTAATGATTTAGCAACTAAAGCTCTTCATGTATTGGTGGGCTTTCTTTCTTTAAATGTTTTGCCTAGGTTCACGCGCTTAGCACTGTTTCTTTCTGGGGTCACCACACTCATCTTTCTCCTCTTAAATAACTTGCCACATCAGATTTTTTGCCTACGTGGAAGGCTTAGCACCTGTACAAAGTGGAGTATTGGGAGGGGCTTAGTACTAAGAGTAGCTACTCCTGCGTCTATCAGCCAGCCTTAACGATGGTTCTTCTCTGTGTAATCACTCTTACCTGTCGTACTCTGTCACGCTGAGACTGCGCTAGAAGTCTAGAACAGCTCGCGCTAAGTAAATGGAAGCGTGGGAGTAATGACATGGATTACCGTGTGCGTGCGCAGAGCCCCTGGCCATGGCGTCGCTGGCGTTGCTCTTCCGGCGCCGCTCGTTGTGGCCGGCAAGCCGCCGCCGGCAGCTCCGCTTGGCGTCGTCGAACTCCGCCATCGCGTGGAAGCTGCACGCATGTATACGCAGACCAGAGAGTCAACGCTAGCGCGTGAGAGAGACTCCGCACGCACGTACGTACGTGTACGTGAAGTATGGATCTAGCTATGCCTAGCACAAGTTAGGGGTGTGGGTCAGAATTCACGTACCGGCTGCATTGCTGGCAGAAGCGCTGCTCGGCGCCGTGCACGATGACCCTGGGCGCCTTGGAGTGCGCCTCGCACACCTTGTGCCGCCGGTGGTACTCCTTGGCCCCCGCCAGCACCATGTGGCACCCTTCCACCTGGCACCTCGGCATGGCCGCCGTTGCCGTCGCCCCCGCCGCCTTCTCCTTCCTCTTGCCCTCCACCACGGCACGCCCGCCGCCGACTCCGCTCCCGTCCATCTGAGTCACCTGGCCCCCGGCCAGGTTGGACGGGCGCTTCCCCAGCTTGAGGCTAGTGAGCTCCTGCTGCATGTGCTGCTGCTGGCTAGCCACCCCCGGCGGCGGCAGGAAATGCTGCGGGTAAGCAGCCGAGGCGGCGGGCGCCCACTGCACCCCGAGATCCCAAGCCAGTGTCGCTCTCGACCTAGCGTTGCCGTCTCCTTCCATGTCCTTGCTGCAACGGAACACACGCGCCGTTCCTCCGGCCAGCAAGGAAACCCACGGTGGCTAGACTAAAACCGTTGTGGCCGGCAAGTAAACGAGCAAGTGGAAATGGCGGCGACGGCAGCGGCTCCTGCTGTAAGTACAGGCAGAGGTAGGTTATCCCACTGGCGCTTGGCCGATATAAAAGCTGGGAAAGGCCGCTCGCGAGCGAGGCGAGCTCCCCGGGGAGGAGCAGCGCACTGGTGACTGGTGTGGAAGGCAGGGCAGCGCCGTACTGACAGGTGGGATCTGCCCGCAGAGGCATCTGGCCGCTGGCAGCAGGAGTGTGCTCGTACGCCACTGTACGACCCCGGCTCGTGACAGCGCAGGGCCCGTCGCCACATGGATGGGCGTCATTGAGGGGTTCAATCCGCGGCGGGACCCGGCCCGCGCTGCGCGTACCCATGACTGCCACCACCCGCATCGAAAGCCGCGCGCGGCGCGACAACACGCACTGCTCCTTCCTAGCCTCACTACCTGCCCGGCCTTTATTCACTGCGGAGTGGGACCACGTTATCCCCGGTCACGTCTTAGGCCCACCCGTCGGCGAGCGGCGTGGCAGCCTGGCGCGGGAAGCGAGGGTGGCGGCCCTCCCACTTGCACAAAGATGCCATATCCGGAACTGGACGCCACCACGGATTTTCCTGCGCCACGTACCAGTTTTACCACGCGCCCTCCCACTGGCCGGTGGGACTTGGTGAATCTGGTCCCACTCGTCATTAGGTTCACGCCGGAGGGCGCCGTGGCTGAGCAGCGAGGGGGGAAAGCCTGCGCAGCAGAGCGGGGTGTACATGCATGCAGCGGGGCGGGCCCAGTACGTCGCGTGGTCCGGCCTGGCAGTGTCAGTGGGCGTGGCGTGGCGGAGGCCCTATTGGCTGCGGAACGGGGGGTATGTCTGAGCTTTGGGGGAAATAATAGCGCCGTGCTGGGTGTTGGGGGCGCGACGCACGGGTACGGGTACGGCAGTTTGGCCTTTCTCGTGCGCATTCCCTGCGAGCCTGAGATGCTGTACGTCCGGTGCTCGATCCGGGGCAAATTTGACAATTAAATCACAAAATGAACTGTCCGTAGAACTATTTCACACGGCTGACCTGTGGCGCCTAGCTCTCAGGCGCTGCACTAGTGCAACGCCTGGGAGCTAGGCGCTGCACTACTGCAACACCTACGAGCTAGGCGCTACACTGTATAATGCGACTTAGTAATTTTCTGATCCCACGTGTGCGGCGCTGGCTGTGTAGCGCCTATCTGTGAGGCGTTGCACAGTGTAGTGTGGTGCCTTCGTGGCGGGCGTCACACAAAAAGGTCAGCCGCGTGAAATAGTTTCACGGATAGTTTATTCTATGATTTGATTCTGTCTATAGGTCAAATTTGTCAAATTTGCCTCGATCCGGCTCGTGTATTTGTACCACTGCCCCTTTGTACTGACACTGACATGTGTATTCACGCAGGCACCTCGTCGCGTTTCGTTTCGGTTGGACCTCTCGCCCGTCCGCCCTGGCCTCCTTTGTCATGCTCGTTTAGGGTCGCAGCGTCACGTCTACTCGGTCCATGATGCTGCCTTCTATTGGCCCTGCAATTGCTCTCGGGTTTCCGCGTTGTGTGCCGGTTGATGCTGTGAGCTTGATCCAGCGACTGAGTGCAGTGATCAGTGAATATTCATCCCTCGGGAAGTTTGGGCTGCTAGAAATGCCAATGTTTAGGGCCACTAACCAGCGTGTTATGATATTCGTTAAGGTCTGAGCTAACTTCCTAACATAGTGAATTTAAGCAACAGATCCGAACACATTTCTATTTGATTCAATTAAGCCTAAGCTCATGCAGCCGCATAATTCTTTAGCTCCTCTGCTGATTAGCCTCAATTGATCAATTAAGCATGCATGCATGTGAGACAAAATTGATGATGTCAGTAAAGATTTCAACAAAATTCAAAATTCGAAATGTTTTGTACCTTAAATCGTTGCTCGGATTGAAAAACTGTTTTCATATAAAAGGTTCGTCGCAGCGAGACCTTCGAAACTAGGCCCCATTGATATGTTCCGACAAAAAAATCAGAGTAAAAAGTTACCACGCCTCTGCTACGCAAGTTATCATGTCAGTTGTGCACAGGTTATTATTACGTTGTTTACACGAGAATTACCGGGGCATCAAAATAGTTCCTCCAACCTTCTCTTCGCATGTACATGCATGCATGCATTAGGAGGAAAAAATGATGTCATCTTAGATGCTTTCCTATTTCGAAACTTCAAAATGTTTTATAGCGCAAACTGTCGGTCTGATCAAAAAATCATTTGCACGTAAAAAGTCTGTCACGACGAGACCTACGAAACTGGATCACATGTTGATATGTCTTGACAATTTTTTATTCAAATAGTTATCAGTTTTGGGATGCGTAAGTTATCAGCTCTGATGTATGTATATTATCATGTTCTTTATACGTGAGTTACCATAGTATATTTTCAACTTGTTTTTTCGGGACAAAAGTTACAACAGCATTTGTGCGTGAGTTACCACGTATGCGGTCCGTATATTACCACATTTTTTACAAATAAGTTATCGAGGATATGTTTCAAACAACTTCCTCCCCCCTCCCCCGATTCAAAGTTACAACGGTGTTTGTACGTGAGTTATCAAGTTTACAATGTGTACATTACCGGCTTTGCAGTGCGCGAGTTACCATGCCATGCACGCAAAAATATCAGGGGTATATTTCATCAACCCCCGCCCCCACCACCGCAAAAATTAATAGCAATGGGGTACATAAGTTATCAGGTCTGCGATGTGTGAGTTACCGTGCCACTAACGTTACAGTTTCCATGTGTATATTTCATCACCCTCCCCCTCCCTCGCCAGAGTTATCAGGACCGAGGCACATAAGTTATCAGATCTGTGATGTGTGAGTTACCATGCTATTCACACAACAGTTACCAGGGATACTTCATCCCCCCTGCGCTGCCAAAATTATCAAGACCGGGGTACATAAGTTCTCAGGATGTCTCAAAGTATAACATACAAAAAAGATTGAAATCAAACTATAAGTATTTGCTAAAAGGCGACACAATACAAACAAGTAGTTGCCTTGCTAGTTGGTTAGTGTGGTTAGTTATGTGGTCTTATATTAGTTTTCTGAGGTTGAGAGTTCGACTATCATCTTCTGCACTATTTTTTGCTTGGGAAATTATATGAGTTAAATAGACTGATATAATTAAGGCAACCAATTAACTATGATACGGAATAATCATTAAAGCGGTCCGAGATTGCAGAATCCAATCATCATTAATTGCGGGATCATGGGGAAAACAGAAGGAAATCAATGAATAATCATGTCCGGTCGAGTTAAAACCGCACGATCAATAAGCATCGTACGATCTAAAATGAACGAGAACCGGGTCATTCAGATCTGTTGCAAAAATCCGGCCGACTGAAAAATAGCTTTTCCGATTCATTAAATATTTACATGGATAGTGATGTTACTCCATGGTCTCATATGTTTGAAGATAGTGGTTGCAAGGTAGTCACTTTATCTTGGCGCGATTACTTATGGGATGGAGGGAATACATATGTAAGATGTTGCAGAACTTCTTTCAGCGATGCTATTTTCGCGGCAAGTTCCCCATGCCCCCCTCTTCCAAAAAAAACTTCAATCAACTCTGAAGACGCATGTGATCTCTCTCACTAAGAATCAAATGATGGAACAAGTGAAGACACATGACCGTCTTGAGTGGGAGTATCTTCAAGGAGTCATTCTTCAATTGATCTTCTCGAAAGATTGGGTTTCTCTAGTGACGAGTGATACGTCTCCAACATATCTATAATTTTTAATTGTTTCATGCTATTGTATTATCTGTTTTGGATGTTTTATATGCATTAGTATGCTATTTTATATTATTTTTGGGACTAACCTATTAACATAGAGCCCAGTGCCAGTTTCAGTTTTTTCCTTGTTTTTGAGCTTCGTAGAAAAGGAATACCAAACGGAGTCCAAACGGAATGAAACATTCGCAATGATTTTTGTTGGACCAGAAGACACCTAGGAGACTTGGAGATCAAGTCGGAAGAGCCACGAGGCGGCGACAAGGGAGGAGGGCGCGCCTCCCTGCCTTGTGCGCCCCTCGTGACTCCCTGGACCTAATTCTTCATCCTATATATTCTCAAATATCCCTAAACCACCAAAAGCATCCACAAAAACATTTTTCCGCCGCCGCAACCTTCTATACTCGTGAGATCCCATCTAGGGGCCTTTTCTGGCATCCTGCCGGAGGAGGATTCGATCACGGAGGGCTTATACATCAACTCTATTGCCCTTCCGATGAAGCATGAGTAGTTTACTTCAGACCTACGGGTCCATAGCTAGTAGCTAGATGGCTTCTTCTCTCTCTTTGATTCTCAATACCATGTTCTCCTCAATGTTCTTGGAGATCTATCCGATGTAATCTTCTTTTGTAGTGTGTTTGTCGAGATCCAATGAATTGTGGATTTATGATCAGCTTATCTATAAATATTATTTGAATCTTCTTTGAATTCTTATATGCATCATTTGATATCTTTGTAATTCTCTTCGAACTATCAGTTTAGTTTGGCCAACTAGATTGGTTTTTCTTGGAAAGGGAGAAGTGCTTAGCTTTGGGTTCAATCTTGCGGCATCCTTTCCCAGTGACACTAGGGGCAGCAAGGCACGTATTGTATTGTTGCCATTGAGGATAAAAAGATGGGATTTACATCATATTGCTTGAGTTTATTCCTAGATCATGTCATCTTACTTAATGTGTTACTCTGTTCTTCATGAACTTAATACTCTAGATGCAGGCAGGAGTCGGTCGATGTGTGGAGTAATAGTAGTAGATGCAGGCAAGAGTCGATCTACTTGACACGGACATGATGCCTATAGTTCATAATCATTGCCTTAGCTATCTTCATAACTTTGCGTTTTTCTATCAATTGCTCGACAGTAATTTGTTCACCCATCG